CCAGCCTCTTTGGTCTGCTGGTTTGTGTGGTGAAAGCTGTCATTAAGACTTTGAACCCCAGAGTAAAGGTAAGGCTGAAGGAAACTGATTATTATATTTATGTATTTATGACTCTATCTCTGCAAATCTTACTCTTCTTCCCCCCCACCCCACTTCAGCTGAAGCATGGATGAAGAGCCAAATACGTTTTTACAGCCTGATTTCCACTCCAGTGGTGAAATCTAAAAGGATCAGACCTGTTAACATTGGATTTTCCCATGGAGTAGCCTTTTAATAAGGGTGAAGATTATCACTGTCTCAGTATGGGTTATCCAGGGAATAACATCAAAAGCAGCAGTGGGGCAGGGCTGTATGTAAGGCTTGGGATTCCCACCTGGAAAAGGCTGTGCGTGCTAAACCATGCAGAGAGTTGCTTCAAAGAAATGCATTATGCACTTGTAGCTGTGGGATTTGTTTTGTATATTTTTCTGAAAGTTGCCAAAAACTCCTGACATCAAACTAAAACAGGAAACAGAAACTTAGACTGAGTAAAGTGTAGATCAGAACAGAGGCAATATCTGTCCCTACTAGAGGATGCTAGCATCCTCTATGCAAGAAAAATTGAGTGATTGCTACATTTTATCACTTTTCCTTGAAAATGTGAAGGAAATCACTTTCTGAATGCATGGTGGTATCACTACAAATTGCTGTTCACTGGGCAGTTAAATGAGGCATAGATAATGCCTAGCATTGATGATGCTGCATTGACGCCACTTGCTGTAACAGGTAGGGCAGGTGCCTGAATGATAGACGAAGCTTTGCTGAATGAAAAAAACATGCCAGACGAGGCGACTTTTTTTTTTTCTTGTTCTGATATCAAAATGCAGAAATATTCAGCACTGGAAAACTTAAAAATATTAAAGACATAGTGGTAAGTTAAATTATTTAAGCAAGACAGCGTACAGTGAGTGTTATCTGATGTTAGTGCTAAATCAAGCACTGCATAGTTTGAGGGATCCTTGAAGTATTGACAATGTATTTGACTTCCAGTTGAAATCAGTCATTAGGACTGGGGGTTTTTCAGCGTCTCTACCCCTTCAGAGTAGAAAAAAAAAATGCATGGCCTAAGAAGACTTCTGCCTTCAGCGTTCATGACTTTCAGTAAACAGGTTTGGATTTGTTTCTTTTTATAAGCACAACTTAATGGTACCTATAGATAGAGTGTCAGATTTCCTCTGTAAGTTTGTCGTGGCAGAGGTTGATATTACTATCTTGCTTACTCTATATCTAGGGATCTTTATGAATCTCTTATTAATAACTATAAGTGCTATTTCCATATAGGAAATGCATCTAGCAAAATAATCTCCAGATATGATACTAGGTGCGTATTTTATGTCCCACATCTGTGGTAAAGGTGACCTTCGGCGGAGGGGGGGAAGGGCCTTTGCATTTGCTTTCTGCTATATAAGTCTGAAATTGAACTTGGAAACCACAATAAAAAAAAGCACCCAAAGCTTTGTGCCTCCAAAAGCTAAAGAAATGAAGTTTTTCATTGTTTTAATGTTGGGTACATGATTAGTCAGCAGTCTGTGGGCAGTTTTTCCTTCATAGCCTCATTCAACCATGTCGCTCTGACCGTGGCTTTCACAAAATCTGACTTCATCTGGCAATCTCTGACAGAACAGAGTGATCACTAAATAATCATTTCTCGAGGACAGGAAGTGATTCACTCAACATGGCCATAATAAACCCAAGGGACCTGCTCCACCTGCCTGCCAGAGCTCTGATTCACCATCTCTGGGGCTTCCTGAGGAGAGGACAGCAGGAGAGGACACTGCCATTGCTGTTGGCTCAGCCTTGGCGTCATGGTCTTCTGTCCCTGTAGGAGAAAGGTAGAGTCACAGAAAGGTGTGACTACTCTCCAGCTGTCACAGCACACACAGAATCACAGAATGTCAGGGGTTTGAAGGGACCTCAAAAGATCATCTAGTCCAGCTCCCCTGCCAGAGCACATAACTCAGTGAGTCAAGTTGAGGTGCCATTGATTTCAGCTTTCGTTAGTAAGTTGGGTAGTGATACGCAGCAGCTGGGGAGTGAGTGTACAGTGATTTTAGCTTCATCTTTTGGGAGAGGGCAAGGCTGACCACTGGAGATGAGGCATGATGGGCAGCCCTAGACCATCACTTCTTTAGTTGCCATGCTGTGACTCACCAGAGCTTGCCTGAAGCTCCCCCAGCAACACCATTAGACCAGCAGCAGGCAGTAAGGAATAAAGGAGGCTCCAGTGGTGACAACATGAAAGTGGTTCTTAATGAGATGTGAAGGCATTAAAGAAAATTCAGACCCAAAGGGTAGCCAGTAGAGAGAGAGGACTCAGTAAGTTATACCCACCCCAAAATGAGCTGCTAATCACTGGCGCTATTGTGAAGACTACAATAAATCAGTGTCTCCCCTGGCCGCCTGTGTCTCATTATGCACAAACACGCAGACAGAGAATGTCAGCCTCAATAGCGATCTGTCATGTGAATGCTGCTGTGTCCGAGTGGGCTGGTGCTTGCATGGTTAGCCATCTTTGTATTTTATTTATTTTTGGGGGGGGAGGGGAGAGAGGGATATCTATTTTCTTTTGGAAAAGTTCATTTGCTCCATACTGTGGGTAGTAAATTAGCCCTTTTCTTCTAGTGATTTGTGAATTCTGTGATAACATTGTATTTAAGGTGTGTGGGTAAAATATCTTTCATATATGTCATATTTAATGGTTGGGGGTTTGTTTGGGTTTGACTGGGTTTTTTTTCCAAGTCCTCCTCCGTGTGTGGTGTCTTGCATATTACTGAAGCTAGGGCAACACCTACATGTGTTTATTCAGCTGATGTATAGTGCCCATTGCTCAAGCATCACTGACTGCCTAGGAAAGGCTAATTAATTTAAGCCCTGCAGCACCTCTTTGAGGCAACTTTTGTTGGTCCTGATGGATGTACACACTATAGCTGCTCTCTGTTATTTATTTTTAATATGATTTCTATCCCAGAGAGAGAGAAAAAAATGCATAGTTCTTGCTTTGTTAGGTATTTGAAAAATGTTAGACTTTTGATATTATTGAAATAAAGGATTTTATTGCAAGCCATGCCTCAGAGGTTCCTATTTGCTTTTAAAGCCTCAGCTTCTGGAGCAAGGTGGACTTGTAGATGTCCTTTTGTTTTTAAATATCTGTGTGGTTGCAAACTAAATTTTTGTGTATTGTCTCAGCTTAATCTAAAATCTGGGATGCAGTGAGGCACTTGACTAAGGTTGTGGGTTTATTCCTTCTTAATCTTAAAATTTTTGCATGACTGGGACTAAGAATACCAATGACAGAGTGCACGTGCAATTTGGAAGAGAGTGGCGTGGATTACTGGCTGGTTTTGTGTTCATGTTTTAATTTCAGAATTCCTCAGTCCTGCACTATATTAACAAAGTAAACCAAAGGCAACCGTCTCCTCCCTCCCCCTCCATAAGCAAACCAAAGATGTTTTTCAACATCAACTCACTTTTTTTTGTCTATGCTTGGTCTTAAACTTATTGAAGAGAGATTCAACATATCTTCTCCAAATGCTTTTTCCTCCTTTTGTCTTTACTCTGAGCTTGGCTTTGTTTCTCCAGTTCCTTTGTCAACACTAAACTCATTTCCTCTATCATTCTCTCTTGTCCTTCCTACATCCACTTTTAATGCTAGATCCCTAGCTACCTCACATCTTAAGGAATGTTGAGGACTACTGAAGTGTCTGGTTTGAGCTGGCTTTAAACCATGGGCAGCTCAGTCCTCATGTGTCACTCCCTCCTAGAGGAAAATTCTGAATACCTTAATATTTTTTCTGGCAAGCAGGTGTCCCCTACTGCCTAGGGCATAAATTCACAATTGTTTTATGGCAATCTGAGTCCATGCGGTCACCAAAGGAGGCAATCTCCCTTTTCTAGTATTTGCTCCCACCATCTCTTTTCAAGTAGCTGTCTGATATGGTAGATTACTTTTTTTTTTTTTTTGGTAGCTATAGGTGAGGAATCTGGTCTGATTTGTGTCACAGCCCCATGGGTATGAGTGCTTATACCAAGAAGCCCTGGGTATCATCCAGCCAAGATGGGGGAAAAAGTTTGACCACTGCTTTTGGTTGCAGTATAGTCTCTGACTGACTTAAATTATCATTTAATGACACTATATTTAATGTAGGTTTGAGTTCTCACTGAAAAAGAAGATCCTGCACTTGGCCACTCACTCCTTTGCTGTTAACTTTCTGCTTTCTGTTAACACAAGGTGTTGCACAGCTGTGGTGAACCGGCCTGGTTACATCAGACAAATGGGGAAAGGAGGCATCTCATTTTGTTCATGTGGGTTTCTCAGACAGTTTTTGGCCTAAATCATCCTCCCAATTAATCAAGCAAGTGGCCCACTCTTAGGCCACCTTTCAGTGAATGCTTTTCCCAGTGCTTATAAATCTGCTCTCCTCCTGTTTAAAGGTGGTGAAAGCTGTGGTAGGTTACTGCTGCTTGTGATGAACTGAGCATTGTTCCTGTGCTCTCCAAGCCACGAGGCAGCTTTGCGCTTCTCTTTGTTTCCGCTCAGACTTGCGCTCAGCCCCTAACTTGAAACCTCATAAGCTCTAAGGCAAACAGTCCTTCAAACAGTAAGCAATTCAGCCTGTGTCCCAGATGAGCCCAGTTGCCACGACTTGTGGATTGGGCCAAGAAGAAATTTGAGATGGTCATGAAATCATCTGTTGTGCAAACAGGGGCTTGGTGCTTTTTTCCCTTCCAGGAACTTGACTGCTGTAAATTACTTCAGCATGATCAGCTGTTTTTAAGGCGCTGCGGCGATATATCTTTCCTAAAAGTGACCCGTTTTGTATTTATTTTTTAGGGCAACTTACATCATCATTTTAAAATACAAGGTAGTTCACACAAAAACTTCAATTAATTTTTTGTTTCTTTGTATATGGATATGAAAAGTTGGATATGAAAACCACTTCTTCTTTCTTCTGTTTCGGCAGTTAAATATTCTGGTTGACACTGGGAGCAGCAATTTTGCTGTAGCAGGTGTGCCTGATCCTGATGTCACCTCCTACTTCAATCCTGAGCTGTAAGTACCTTTTCTGCACGCTGTGATGGCCTAGGATGTCTTTTAGATTCTGGCTCCTCCATGTGAAAGAGGATGATAAGGCAGTTTGTGAGACCCCTGTGGCATCCCATGAAAGCGGAATATTTGTTGCCTGAATAGGAAAATTGGCCTTGCATGATGCCAAGTCCTGCCTGATGCCATGAACAGTCCCACTGGTGGGCAGCGCAACCAAACTCTGAGTGCAGCGCTGATAGAGCTGGAGAAGAGGGAAGAAGATTAGAAGCTAAAAATTGTTTGCAAAATCACACCAATTTCAGCCAATTTCTTATCTAAGTAGTCTTGGAAGGAGTTAAAAGTTTAAATGTACTTTCCCTTTGTTTAAAAAAATAAAATTAAAACCCAGTAATTGTATGTTACTTGACATCTCATCCAAAACCAAAATTAGTTAGTCAAAGACTAATTTGTTGTTTAGTTTGGCCAAGAGCCTTAATCAGTTAGTGATGTGGACAGACCCTGCTGAATCTGGTTGTTTCTAAGGTACAACTTGGTAGTTTTGGTGCCTGTTACGCACTAAATTTGCTGTTTAGCATGAGCTGACGTTAGTCACAGCCAAGCACAACTTTCTCTGTCCAAATCACTCTCCCTCCTTTCTTTCTTCCTTTCTGCCTTTTTCTGGTTTCAATTATTTCAGGTAGACTTCTCCAAAACATGGTGTTTATCTTTAGCTGAAGCATGTGGATAAAAATACTTAGAGGGCTGGGAGAGTATCACCATTCTCATTACCTCTTTATGTATCTTAGCATGAGGTTTTGCACTTTTTTTTCCAACCAGATGCACTGGTAATGGGAAAGTCATTACTTCTGTGCTGCTTACTAGAATAGCCCTACCTCCTGTCACATATTCACATGTTAGTGGAGATATTTCACATCTCAGTCTGGTATGACACAGGTCTGGAAAGTCTAGAATTTGCACTTGAAAGCCATTTTTGCACTACTGTAGGTAGTGGCAAGAGGAAACTTAATTGCAAAGAATTAAAAGCACAAGCATTCCTTCTCCCTTTTGTCTTAAGTAGCGTTATTTTGACTGGAAGGGCAAGGCCTCTTTCATACGAATCATAAACCTTTAGAAACAGCAACAATGGCAGAGGTCGTGTGTTGAGAAAGGCTGTGAAATTACTTGAAGGATACAGTCTCTTATCAGTGTTCTCCGTGTACACTCTGTTTTGAGAACTTTGTGTCAAAGTTAATAATGAAACCTTGAAATTTAGGCCCTGAAGAGTTAAGGGTAAAATAATTCAAACTGAAGTCATTACAGTCTAGAGCAATTCAATAGCAGTTTCTGGATTGGATTGATAGAGTACTGCAACCATTAGCATATTTGAACCTGGCTACACCACCTTCTTCCATTTTAACTACAGTGTCACCAGATCAGGTCAGCCATGGCTGAGTCCAGCCGAGTCCTGTAAACCTTTAAGAGTGGAAAATCCCAGCTCTCCCTGGGCAGTGTGTTTCAGTGCTGTGTCACACTCTGCTGTGGAGGAAATATTTCCTCATGTTTAACCTGAACATCACAGAATGTAACTTGTGGGTGTTGCCCCTTGTGCTGTTTTCTGGCACTGTAGAGAAAGGTTTGGCTGTGTCATCTTTGTAACTGTCTTTCAAGTTGTTGTAACCTCCTGTGAAATCTTCTCTTTGCTTCTTTTCTGCAAAACTGAAGGCTGTCTCCTCTCAGCTTCTCATCACAGATCCAGTGTTCATCTGGTAGCCCTCTGCCAGTCCCTCTTCTCTTTCTCCAGATCCTTGTTAAACTGGCCACAGTCTATTCCAGGTATGGTCTCACCAGTGCTGACCAGAGGGTGAGAGTGATTTGGATATGTTGTCTATGGCCCTCCTAATGTGGACTTTGCTGCATGCCCAGGGCAAGTATTCTGTTGGCTTTTATCATGCCAAGTCCTTTGAGTCCTTTTCAGCTGCTTCTCTGTCTGTCCTGATGCATGGAGTTGTTTCATCTCAGCTGCTAAACTTTGGACTTCTCCTTGCTGAATGCCAGGAGGCTTCCATTGGCTCAATATTCCCATTTTTCAAAGTTCCTTTGTATTCAAGCTCTGACATTCAACATGTCAACTAATCCCCTTAGTTGTGAAGTACTGTGCAAATCTGCTGAGGGTACAGTCTGTCCGTCATGTAGGTTCTTGATGAAAATGTTGAACAATTTTTCCTCCATTTACAACTCCTGGGGCAGGATATTTGTTACAAATCTGATGTTGAGCAATGATCACTGCAATTTGGGCTCAGTGGCCTAGCCCACCTTCAACCCATGCAGTGGTCTGTTCAGCCGCATATCCTCAGCCTCCATGTGGGAATGCTATGGGAGATGGTGTCAGAAGCCTGACTGGGGTCAAGATGTGCTACAGCTACTGAGCTCTCCTCATCTGCATAGCCAGTGATCTCGTTGTAGAAGGCAATGAGATTGACCAGGTACGATATGCCTGTGAAATTCCTCACTGAGTGTCCACAGTTACCTTCTTGTCCTTCGTGTGCTTGGGAACAGGTTCCAGGAGGTTATTCTCTGAGACTTCTGACCTGAAATAAAGCGCAGTGGCCTTTATTTCCTTGGGCCCTGCTGCTTGTCTCTTTTTGAGACTGGCCTTAAGAAAGCCTTTTCCCAGTACTGAGGTTACCTGCCCTGGTTGTTGTGTTTTTGCATAGATGGTAGATAGGGGCTTTGATGTCGCATCAGATTTGTGAAATTACCTAAGAGTGATCTTTACTCATGAGTAAATGAGACAAATGACCTATGGGCACTTTTCTTCCACACTATGTAGAATGCTTTAAAATTTAGATAAAGAGATTTCCTCTCTCATCTGGTAATCACGCCCACAGTTTTTTCCTATACTGTCATGAAATGCTTCCATATGGAAGTCGTAAACTGCAAACTGAAGGCAAGAGGAGAGAAGTATTGGTAGTTTGTTAAGTTAAGGGGACTGAGTTATAGATGTGTGCTTGTTAGAATATTAATACTGTCTTATAGGAAGAGAGTGATGGGTCTTAACTTCCTGATCGCCATGCTCTTAGTTTAATTTTATTCAAATGATCAAAATCTGAAACTAAATGCAAATCTTGTTTTTTGTCTAAAGTTGTGGAGAGTGCATAGGAAAGACATTCTCTTTGTTTCAAAGGATCTGGAGGGGGTGTGGTTCAAGAAGAGCCCTCCTTGAGCAATTTTAGAACGAGCTCATTAAATGATATTGTGTGTCATTTAATCCGTCATATAATTCTGCTGTTTAATTATTTGAGTCTTTCTGTACAAAACAAATAAAGCTGTTATCACGAACTTCTTCACAGCTTAGGCTTTTGAGTGGCTCTGACAAAACTTTGCTGTGAAAATTTCTAAGTCTGCTGTAATGATCTTGCTGTGTAAGTCACCATGACATACAAAGTTTTGGGAAAGGGCCTAATTTGTCCTGAATGGAAGAGAAATCGCAACATGTGTTTCTTGTGCTGTTCAAAATATAAGTAGTCTTTTCTGAGTATGCTTCTTAGGATAAAAGAGCTAGTTAAACGGATGTATAAAGGGTTTTTTACACTTCATGTTGTAGAATGGCTTGGAACAACCTTAAAGATCATCTAGTTCCAACCCCCTGCCATGGGCAGGGACACCTTTGACCAGACCAGGTTGCTCAGATCCCCATCCAGCCTGGCCTGGGACAATTCCAGGGTTCGGGCATCCATAGCTTCTCTGGGCAACCTCTTCCAGTGTCTCACCACCCTCACAGTAGAGAATTTCTTCCTAATACCTCTTCTAAATCTACTCCTTCAGTTTGAAAACATTACCCCTTGTCCTGTCACTACACTCCCTGATAAAGAGTGCCTTCCCATCTTTTCTGTAGGTCCCCTTTAAGTACTGGAAGACTGATAGGGGGTTTCCCTGAAGCCTTTTCTTCTCTAGGCCAAACAACCTGAGCTATTAATAATCTGAACTATTATCTTAAACCAGAAGACATCAAATACTCAAAACTAAATTCTCAGTGATGGGTCTGTGGTGGTACGTGAAGGCGTGACTTATTCAGGGCTGTCAGTATTCAGCAACAGTGTTCAGTTTTATTTCAGCATAAGTACTACTGCCTCACCATCTAAAGTTTCAAGAGCAAATTGCTCAAGAGTTGTTCATTCCAAGAGACAGGGAGGTAAGATAATTATGGGCAATAAATTGAGGTAGTGTATTAAGTTATATACCAGCAAGAAAAAGTAAGCTGCTGCTTGGCAGTGTGATCTCTGAGTTTTGCTGTATACACTGTATAGTTTGTGGTTTGGGGTAAACTGTAAACTTGTTCCAGAAGTCCTGAAAATTAGATGTAGATGGGACTTCTTGGTTAAAAATTGTCCCTTCTTTGCCATTGCTCTCTGCAGAGACATTGATTTGGTGCTTAGGAAGAACTGAGTGGGTAAACAGGAAAATCTGAAATCCGAGTTTGTTGCAGAGTGGCAAGAGAGCATGGAATTAAGAAGAAATTGCATGTGTTTGGCGAGGCTGGTGTTAAGCAGAGCTTTCTGCATAGTGAACTTACTGTCACCGTGTTGAGCTTCCTTCTAGTGGAGCATGACATGAGAAATAATATTTGGGTTATGTTTTGTTCAGTGCTATATGGTGGTAATGAGGACCAACTCTGCACGAGAAGATGAACCCATTGCTAGTTTTCTCAGCTGAGGCTTGAAAACTGTTTGAGGTTTGAGCACCATATTTCTGTTGTCTGCTTTGGAGAAAAGATAGTAACCAGGAAGGAGAGGGAGAAGGGGATAGTGTAAATACAGCACCATAGCCCAGGAAGCCTTTTTCTTGCCTCTAGGTAAGATATGCTCTGTCCTGCTGGAAGGGTTTAATTTCTTACTTTCTCATCACGGCCCAAAAAGCTTGTTTGGAGTTTTTTGTGCCATGTGTCTGTTTTAAAACACTCGTGAATTAGAACAATTAACCTAGTTTTGACCTCTGGAAGAAGTTTTCTTCCTTTAGATCGGTGAGGTGGGAAAACGCAGGCTGATTGCAGTCAAGATGGAGCAAGAAGTGGTTTTGCAGAACAGAGTATGGTTTATTACCACGAGGATTACATGAGATCCCTTCCCACATTAGGAATTTTTCTTCTTGAAGGAATAAAAAGGCTTCTCTTCAATATGACATTTGTACACTTCACAGATGTATCCTCATGCTCATTTCTGCAGGTGGGGAAGCTGAGGCACACAGAGCCTCACAGAGAAGTGACTTGTCCTGCCTTTCCACAGGAAAGTTCACCAGCTGTACTGGAAACGAACTCAGTCTTTCTGTGTCCTGGTCCACACCTCAATCCCTCAGGCTGCTACCGCTTGCGGAAGAAGAGCTGTATGCTGCTGCTGTTGTTAGTCATGCAGCATCAGTATCTGCAGGTTCACTTTGCTTTACTCTCCCAGCACTCACTTTTCTCTCTGATTTCAGATGTTTCCTCTTCTGCTGCACAGCCAGACACTTTTCTGCATCAAGAACCCTGTATTTTTTTCCTTCCTTTCCTCCCCCCTAGTTTCTCATTATGTCACTAATTATTCAGATTCTATTTCGATTTATGAAATGTACTGCCAGTATCACAGTGGTGCTCTGAAGACCCTGCCTGAGCAGAGATGTCTCTTTGTCTGTCATACAAATGCAGAATTACATAGAAAGGTAAAACAGCAGTAGAAGTGGCCAGATACAGGTAGGAACAGTATCTCTGGAATTCACGCATTTTGAAATATAATCTATGGGGCCTATTACCTCACATGTTTCTGATGGCTTAGATGTTACAAGCTACTGAGCCCTGAACACCCTTGAAGGGTTAGGTGTTGGGACTATCAAGGACTGCTTAGGGTTAAGAGCCTGGCTTCTTACTACTCCTTCCCTCCTTTAGCTGGGAAGAGGATCAGTTGCATGGTCTATATGGTCAAATTATCCCTCAAGAGTAAGCATCTGCTTGAATGGATGGGAGTTATCTGCATTGCCAGCTAAAGGTTGTTCTCCGTAACAGGCAAAATCACAGTAACTTCATTTTGGTGAGCTCAGTTACAGGGGGATGTGAAGCCACTTCATGTGCCTGTTTTTGTCCGAGAAGCTGTTAGATTAAAGCTGGGTTGATAAAACTCTCCACACTTGATAAATCACCCACACTGTCTTTGTTTTACACACATATAAAGGTAGTGTTACAAAATCATTTTGTACTTGTTGGGATTTTTTGAATTTTTTTTTGGTTTTTCAACTTCTGTAGCTCTTCAGTAGTGATGTGAGTGGAAGATGATTACTATATTTACACTACAAGATCTTAAAATAAAAAATCTATTGACATTTTTTCTATGTTTTTGTTAAGCCTTCTAAACAGGATTTTTTTTATTTCTTCGTTTTCTGTACTTAATTGATCCTTTGCCTTTGCTGCCCTGATCTAGAAGGAACTCCCTCCTTTCCTCCTCCAAGTCAGTGAATCATGTTAGTAATATCCAAGACTACTTACTTCCTGACAGACCAAACTGCAGATTTAGAAAGCCTGTGTCTTACTGCTGATACTCACAATAATATTCCAATTTACCCAAAATGGATTTTTTTAACAATATTAGTGAGATATTACTCTACAGCTATTCAGTTAACTTGGTGTTTAAGTTTTACATTTGAATTCAGAAGCTTTTAATTTCCTAGCACCACTTAAAACATTTGTTCCATCTCCAGTTAAAGAGTATTGCTTTCATTGTGATGGACCAGCCTGAGTCAGGGACACGTTGCATTAACTGACGTAATACCTTAGATTAAAAAAAAAAAAAAAAAAAAAGACACACACTGTGACAATTTGAGTCATTGGTGGCTTCAGGATAAAGACAGGGCCTTGAGATTTTTTTTTTATTACCACTTTTTACTGCTTTTACAGTTCATCACCCCTCTTCTGTGAGTATATGTGATTGACTTTGCAGACTTCACTTTTTTTCCTCTTTGGGAGAAATCAAGATTGAATATATTCTGTTGTCTTGCATTGTAAATGAACAGCTCATGCTTAAGTGTATCTTTTCCTTTTAAAGGTCAAGTACATACAAGTCTCAAGGGATTGATGTCACAGTTAAGTACAGTCAAGGAAGCTGGACTGGAGTGCTGGGTACAGATGTCATTACTATCCCAAAAGGAATCTATGGCAGCTACACCATCAACATTGCTACCATTCTTGAATCGGAGAATTTCTTCTTGCCAGGAGTTAAATGGCATGGGATTCTTGGTCTTGCCTACAATGCCTTAGCCAAGGTAAATCATCCTTTCCCTAGCTGTTGTCTTTCACAATGGAAATAAATAGAAATCTAGCTATTAAGTGAGCAGGCGATCTGTCAGCATTAAACTCCTCCCTTCCAGCCAGTCTTTCCTATGGATCCCTTGTGTTTGTTCCAGAAAGAATAAATTGGGTTGTAATGGTAGCACAGTTCCATGTGAAGATTTTGACTTTTCTGGTGATTTTAGGCTCTGATTTCGGTGCCTCTGGAATGAATAAGCTTCTACAGAGCATGTAGTAGCACAGTATGGGAGTAAGGGCTTCTGGTATGCATGTGGATGGCATATATTAGGGATCTGACAATCTCACTCAAGAAGAGGGAGAATGAACTGGTGAACATACTTGGCAAATCCCTTGGCAGTTCTTTCTAAGACATTTTCCGTTCATCAAGTAAAAGCATGAGATGGAGGGCATATATGGGTAATCTCAGAAAAAGTATTAGCTATCGTGTTTTCGTGAACATCGAACGAAGCACATCCTGTTCTTGTGGAGGTAGGAAATTTGCGTAGAATTCTAAATTAAAAACCGAAATTTGTAGTCTAAAAATTTGTAACTTTATAATCTAAAATTGAAAACGCCATTGGAATACTATGTAGTCATAGTTTTCAACCTACCCATAACTGTCTGAGAAATTCACAAACTGAGATTTATCCCATTAGAACAAATGAGTCAATACTGCCTGCCAACTCTGGAATTAAAATGCTTTATTCAAGAGTTGTGTGATCATTGTATTGACTTCTGCCATACTTGCTGTCATACTCTGTCAACAGACAGGCAGAGAAGAGCTGCTTCTCAAACTCTGGGTTGGCAAATGGTGTTTTCAGGGCATTTGTTTTTCCTTTCTTCCAAAGACTTAAGTATTGTTGGCTTCTGAGACTGCTCTGTCCTTTGTGTATTAGGCACCGCAAGCACGGAAATCTGAATTACAATGAAATTGCAGTACTCTCATAACTGCAAGGCATTACGTGCAGCCTGGGAAAGAACCTTTAGTCCAGGAATCAGTTGAAGAGAGTGTGCTTGGATATGAAGTTCTTCAAAAGAAAAGAGAGGAAATAAGGGCCATCAAATTCACAGTTCATTAGAATTAAACTATATTTAAAAACTGAAAATCCTCACTTTAAATTTCTGCCTTTTAACTGTGTAAAGATGCAAAGGGCGAGTTACATTTGACTCTTCTAAGCTGTTCGGAAAGGCCAAAACTTCTTCCAAACAGAAAGCATCACTGAGAGTTTGTTCCCGAAACTGAAACTAGTAATGGAGTTTGAAAACTGCAGTTGAAAAATACTCTTATGCTTTAGAGATTTCTATGACAGGGGTCAAGAATAAATTTTTTTTAAAAAACAACAGAAACAGAAAAATGACAATTTTGGTTTTTTTAAATGACTTACTATATCTAGAGTTTTCTTCACCTGGTTGTCAGAAATTCAATTTGCATGTGAAAAGTGCTCTTTTTGGAATGGTTGCTCATTTCTGCAAAGAAACTTTTTAATGAATACTTCTGCAATTCTTTTGGTGTTGTTTTTGTTTGTTTGTTTGTTTTTCAACATCTTCAAGCCTTCAAGTTCTGTGGAGACCTTCTTTGATTCTCTTGTGCAGCAGGCGAAGATCCCCAACATTTTCTCTTTGCAGATGTGTGGTGCTGGACTGCCTGTTTCTGGAACTGGTACCAACGGAGGTAGTCTTGTGGGTATCTGTCAATCTGAGAGGGAAGATGTATCTTTGTAAATCTCTCTCCCTATTTTCTTTACTATCCTACTACTTCCAAATTTAGTGTTTAAATATATGAAACATCTTCTATTTTTTAAGGAAAAGTTAAGCACATAGGCAAAGCTCAAATGTCTATTTATTTTCATTCTCCATTCTTTTATTCTCTCTCCATTTTAAGTAAAATTCTGCATTTCAAGTTTAATTTTAATGAAGAAAAATGTAAATGTTGTGATCTTTCCTTAGAACAGATTCTGCTACTTTTCGCAAACTGAGTAGCCCCTTACTCAGCTGCTAAGCTTGTTCAGTCTCATCGAAGTGCTACTTTTTTTTTTTTTCACATGATGTGAAAAGGAAGAGAGGAATCAAAGTTCTTTTTCTTTTTTGTAGACAACATATTAAAGGAAAAAATCCAAAGACTGGATATTCTGCTTGTTGTTACTCTGAAAAGTCTTTCTATCGATTTTAGTGGGACCAAGAATTAGCCATTATTTATCTAGAATCAGAGGTTGGAATGGCTGTTCCGAAATTACGTTGAAATAAGTATATTTGCCTGTGAGTTCAAATACTGTTAAGTGTTAGCACACTTGAAATAGATAAAGCCCAAGAGAACTCGCTTGTGTTAGTTCACTTCAAAGTCTGATAGTCTAATATGCTTGCAGTCAGCTTCAGCCTAAGTTTTGATGGAAGCAAATAGTGATAGCAATGATAGGATGGTTATATTCCATTCTGGATATGTGTAAGAAAAATGAAATGTTCTTGAACAGCATTAAGGTTTTCTGATCTGATAAAGTGAATTTATGATGTGCAGGTTTAGTATTCTGTCCCCTGTTTATACATTGGTTATATTAAACCACAGAAGGGAGTTTTGATTTTAAACAGCAGAGCTTTCACAAAAGAATCAGTGTGAGCTTGTAGATGAATATGCTGGTAATGTGGCTTAATATGGGTATTCTGTTTGACTGAAGCACAATCTGTTTAGTGTCTGGATGTTTCATACTTCTTTATTATTGACAAAGAACTTAGCAGTAAAATCTTTACAAATGGTGCTAAATTAAAGTTTTGATACCCTATGTATCACAATTAAATGTTTTTCCTTTTTCCCGTACTTGCCCCAAAACTAAACGTCTGGGATTTCAAAACCTGTAAATTCTTTTCTCCTTTCCCTTAGGTTCTGGGTGGAATTGAACCAAGTCTGTACAAGGGTGATATTTGGTACACACCGATCAAAGAGGAGTGGTATTACCAGGTTGAAATTCTGAAACTGGAGGTTGGAGGACAGAACCTTGAATTGGACTGCAGAGAGGTATTTGTGATTATGTGTTTCTGTCTATGGAAAATGCAAGTTTCGTTAAGAAATACGCTGAACCGATCAGTTTTGTCTTTGCAAGCAGATGTATATTGCAGGCTTCTCTGAGAATTAAGACTGCATGGTAAATTTGAAAAGAAATGAGCAAGCCATGTGAAATGTAGAGTGTACATCAAGCATGCTAAAATTGCTTCAAAGAGGACTTTAAGGTCATTGATAGTATCTTCAGTAAATTAGGAGTTAAGCTACAATTCTTAAGTGAGTGGTCCACTCAAGATGCTGTGGTTTGGAAGGGCTCAGCCTCTTTACTAGTTTCAGTTGTAGCAAAGGCATCTAAAACACTGAAGATGGTGCATTGATTCAAGTTAAACTACGGTTTATGGTTTTCTGTTATACGGTAAAATCAAAGCGAAGGGTTTTAAAGCAATTCTGGTCAAACAAAGAAAATAGAAGATTTTGGCTTAAGCCCTGTGGAGATGTCTGAGCATGTAATTCATGATGGTAGCTGGTACGTGTCATCCTGGCATGCTTACATATCCTACGCCTCCTGTTTTTATTTATTTTTGTGATCCACTTGTGCTATTTCAGCCTTGCCAGTTATTATTCCTGATGGATATGTTTTCTGTTTTTACTACGCATAGTATTCTGCTATCTCTGGGTCAGTCTAATGAGACTGTGTTGTTACAATTATTATTCCAAAATGGTTTCATATTTTTTCTGAAGGACATGTGTGTATGTGTGTGTTTTATTTATTTCTTGCTGTTATTCATGTTTTGATTTTTAGTTCTGTAATTTTCATGCCCTATTTTCAGTAGACATCTTAATTTTATCTTACGCTTGTTCTCTTAGCTAGAAATCATTGGGACATAGTGATTCCAAGTTTTTACAGTTAATAAAAAGGAAGTAAACTTAATTGTAAAAATCTTACATGTGCATAAATATTATTTCTGTGCAAAATATGGAAATCGTATTACCATATAAAATAATTTAAATTAGTCATATCATCTTTCAAGATAATAAACAAAACAAGATCCATTTAAATGTCTCTGTTATATTGTCAGGAAAGCGAAACTGCTGGTCCTCTGACATCATGTTTCTGTTTGCTTTTCATTCTTGCCTTAAAAGACAATCAACATGTTTCTGAAGAGGAGCCCTTGTGCTAACGGTTTGATACACGCCATTTCCAGAAAACAGCTCTCTTAAAAATCTAGCCATGTTATGAATGTTTCCTGCTATTGTTGCTCTTTTCTGAGCCAGGGTTTGCTTTCACGTTGTATGCCAGTCACTGTTACAGAAGGCATTATTCCTCTCTCGATCAAAAGAGATCTTCCTGCAAAAAGTCCAGGGAAGAACAGTAAATTAGAGCTGCTGTGATTAAAGTTTGGCTAGTTAGGGGCTTGCAGAGGATGCATAATTTGCTGTAAAGTAGGATGAACTATGCGCCCTCTCTCCTTTTAGTAGTGTTCTAGGAAATGGAACATTTTTTGTAGCCATCACTAGAGACTACTCCTTTCCTTGCCAAGGAAAAGTAGTCTTCTCACTTCAATGCTGGGAACCTGTCCAGTGTTACGCTGCAGCTGTGGCCTTGGGGCTGGCAGACCAGGGCTGAGGGAAGTGCTGAGCTGCCAGCAGGGCACAGGGCGAGCTGTTAATATTTAACGGAGAAGACTGAGAAGACAAGTTACTGCCTGCTGCGAGTACACTGTACACAGGATGAAAATTCAGGTGCTTAGTCCCTAGCCGAGCGATCCTGCTACTCCAGGCATTTTGCATGGGTTTCTTTTAGTGGTTGACCCTCTTGGCTGTGCCTCCCACCTACTTTTTTCCAAGAGTGGCTTTCCAAGATGCTAGTGATTGCGTGTTTGTGGTATGATTCTGTTAAAATGGACTCCGCAATGCCTTGATATTTCTCTGCACTCTTGTGAAGTGTTTTTTGAGTGTGTAATCAATGGTTTCCCGTTTGCTTTTCTTTCAGCTCTACTTGGCAGTCTATAGCAGCTCTTCTTTCAGAAAGAAAATAACTGAGGGAGGGTTACATTTATACTTTTTGTCACTGTGCTAAAGATACTCCATGTGACTTGACTAAAACAACATATTTTAAAATCACTTACTATTTGACCTCTTCCAAAAAAGCTTGGACTGTATATTATTACTGCCTTGTGCATTGTGATTATGCCATAAACGTATCCTGCTGCCTAAGCTGGTAACCAGCGTAGTTAATGCAAACAGCAGCTGCCACTGCTGCTTGCCTTACCCACTCACCTCTAATTAATCGTAGTTTTTAAGGAGTTCATGAAAAAATATGTACCTTTTGAAACGTTTATTTACCGTATCTGAAGTTTGCTGAAATCTCTTTATCTGAGGGTTAGAGTTGTAATAATAAGAAACGTTTGCTTAGGTTTTTTTTAGTGCAGATTTTGAGGCAGCAAGATCGAAAGTTCAAGTTCCTTTATACTTACTTTTGTGTGTGTTTTAGTGGGTTTCGGCAGTCAAGAGAGAAGGGTATGGCATTTGACATTTTTACTCTTGAGCTAGTACCAAACATGACATGTAATGAGGCCTGATGTTCCCTGACTAGGCCTAAATTAGATACACCAGCCATTAAAAGTAGGCTGCTGTACTGTGTTTTAACTAGAGTTGCTCCCATGATAAGGGACTTTGGTTCAGGGCTTGGACATCATGTGCAAGCTACATCAGCACGTTCAGCATCTGTCTGTACTGACCGTGGGGGTGCTTTTGCCCAAAGCATATGGGAGGTAAAGGGAACTTGCTCACACCTCCGAGGAGAGCTGGGCTTTACTCCTTTTTACAGTGGTTTGGCCATTTGCACCAGCTGTGGTCACATGTAGTAATTCTCTCAGTGGTGCAGATATACTTGTTCCTCTTACATCTAGGCTGACCGAATCTTGCTTTTGCTCTCAGACTTCATTTGAATTCAAGCTATCAATCACAGAGAGCTGCTGACAGGTGTGACATGCAGGTTTGGGAAGATAGCTACCAGAAAGAAACAGCTTTGTCATTGTTATGAAACAGTGGAACCTGCATTACATTAACTACAGTGTGTAACTTCTCTTTCTTTTTCCCCTTCCCTAGTATAATGCTGATAAAGCAATAGTAGACAGTGGAACCACGCTCCTTCGTCTGCCCCAAAAAGTCTTCAGTGCTGTTGTGCAAGCAATAGCTCGCACGTCCCTGGTAAGCTAATGTCATTAAATCTGCTGAAAATGTTAAATTCCTATTAAATAGTCACATGATGTTTGAAAGGAGTGTCCTCTTTGCTATCTACCTTGTAAGTTGTAGGGTTTTAACCTGAGGGGAGCAGAATCTTTCCTGGTCTACTCCTGTTAATAAGTGAGAGGGAAACAGAAAAGGGAACGGAGAAGGTGAAAAGGGAGATGGAGGAGGGAAAAGGGAGATCCTTTTATGGACAAGAAATGTATGGGAATGCATCAGAAATAGTGCAGAGATGGAACATTTTGTTCTAAGCATTTCAGAAACATGAACGTAATCCTCGTTGCTCTGATTTGAAGTATTAAGAGTGCAAAAATCATCCCTTTAATTTAAAACAGTGTTTATAAAGTAGAAGAACCTGCTATTGCAAGCAGTTCCTTTCCAAATGTAATGCTTTTTGTTATATAGAATGGATGCCGTTCATTAGGATTATTCCTATCAATAAAGCTGCTTTTGACCTTCATTGCTGAACTACTTATGTTTAAAGGTGTCTTTCTTTGGAAATAGAGTGGGCTTTAGAAGTAGGGCATGGGAATTGTGGTCTTTCTGAGTGTAGAGAAGCTGAAGCAGCATTTTCTGGTTAATTCATAAATTTTAGTTGAATACAATGAACAGTGCCAGGAAGGTTAAAGATGAAGAATAAATCCCAGATATTTCAATGTGAACAATTTTAATGTTTTTGGCATCAATTCACAGTCAGACAGCGGTAGTCATTGCAAATCATGAGAAATACAGTAGCTGGACTGTTGGCCTGCTGACCAAAAGACAGAGTATTTGCCTGTATGCTGGTAATTCAAGACTGAGATCCTTTTCCTACCTGATTGACAGCAGAGATTTGGTATGAAGTGTTCTTCACTGCCTGCAGGTGTCCAGTATCTGAAATAAATGTACCAGTTACCTTATGTAGCTCAGCTTCCCTGGTTGAAAAGTTCTTCTGTTCGCAAAGCACTGAAGTATTAACTGGAACGATTTCAGTCGATGAGGGAAAAATTGAAAGAAGCCTACCCAAAAGCCCTTGTAAGTGGCATCTTGTGGATAGGGCATCCTCCTGTGAAGTGGGTCACAGCAGTCCACGCTCCTCTCTGATGCTGATCGGGACACTTGAACTAGGGCCTTCCACGTGACAATTAAATAGTCAACTGATCAATAAGGTATTAGAGGGGAACCATTCACTCACTCTGCTTAATGGCTTTCGTTCTTCCTATTAAAAATGCATAAACTAATTCTTTTCTTTTAGGATTTCTTTTTAATCTCAAGGACCCTGTGGCTGTACCTCGTTCCCTCCAGACACCAGAAATTACTTTCACAGCTCTAAGAAAAGGAGATAGTCTATTAAATAAGAAAGGAGTTACAAGATGTAAGGATCAGATTCCAGCTGTGTAGGAGCAATGTCTGTAAAATGCATGTTTTCAGCAATTGCACCATGGCATCGCGTCCGCACTCGTTGCACTCTGTGCTTCTGGCAGGCGATGTACCACTGAAACACAAAGTCACCCACTGTAGTCAGATGTATTTCTCTTCTCTGACTGCCTGCAGGTGAACTAGGTTAACAAGTTCCTGCTCCAAGCAGCTTGTTGTGAACTTACCAGCAAGATGTTATTGCCCCCTCAGGTATGCTGGGATAACTGCCTGTGAAGCATTCCTTTATTTGGCGTCATTAAAAAACAAGGCTGTGAGCTTTATGCTCTTCACTGGTGCAGGTCAGTTTTTAAAGCTTACTTGTTTGGACTGAAATCTTTTTAGGGAACAGCTATAGATGCAGTTGGATGTTGGCAGGTCTGAAGGGCGGTAGTTTTGGCAGGTGGACAGAAATGATCCACAGAGGGGTGACAGCTGCTACACCTCACAGAGCTGAAATCAGGACAGCATGTCTACTCATAGCATTAATACAATGCTAAGTTGATAAGTTGAAGAAAGGAAGGCTCAAATAAACTTAAAATCTTTATTTTTATAACCCTTTAGGTTTCATACAGCCAAATCCCCCACATACAATGCATTTCTTCAGTGTATAGGAGTAAGACAAAGAAATGCAATAAGCAGTCTTCTGGGAAATGAAAGTAGGCACTTAAAATAGAGCACTTCATAGACTCGGTCTGGCCAGTCTCAGTCCTCTCTTGCAGTTTTTCTCAGATCACAGGCTCTGCTTCGCAAGAGGAAATGGAAAGAGAGGAGGACTGTATCTTTCAGCAGGTCTGGCCTGAGGCTTAGCTATCACAGACAGAGCATTCTATCCTGTGCCAAGAGACAAACTTCTGCGTGCACTGAGAGTTAAGGGTAAAAGCAGTCTGTGACGGTCTCATTGCATGTTTACATAAGTGTATGCTTGTTAGCCTGGGAACAGAGATTAGCACTTGGAAATATTAAGTCTCTAACGTTGTGCAGCCCTAACAAATATTTCATTGGCAGGTATGTGGGGTGGGGTGAGTACTTGTCACCTGTAAAATGCCACGTAACTAATGTATGAGCTGATGTTTACAAAAGAATCAATATCACAGATAAAAACAAATGAGGGTAGTGGAGAGACTGGATTCCATCCTTCTTCTTCACCCAGATGGGAGGCTTTGGCTCTGCAGCATCAGAGCAAGATAGTGCCTTGGATGTTGCTTCACGTGGGAATAAGAACCAGCACAAAGTAATGCACTCAAACAAGGAAGGTTTTTCCACTGATCTGGCAGCAGGTCAGCTTCAGGGAGCATGAACATTAGACAAGGTGTTTGTCTTAGGCATACAAGCTCTGTAGGAGTTTGCTTTTTGCTTTGTTAATGCCATGGATATATTAAGAAGTACTATTAATTGACGTTCTTTCAGAAGCATCTCAAGTTGTATTGGTGGTGAGTGGTGGGCAGCTAAAGAGACAGAGGGACTTGCTTCTTTCTATTGACTGTAGCAGACCTTGCTTCCCTTAGATGCCAGGAGATTTTGGCTTAGCCCTTGGCTTCAAAACCCCAGAGTTGAGTAAGAAGTTGTAGGTATGTGACGAAAGGGGACAACTCCATTATGCAGTCACGTAGTTTGTATTTTGGTTAATGTTTTTATAAAAATGGCTGCTGCCTCAAAACGTTGGCATTTGGTCAGAGCTGCTTTGCCTCTCGGCGGTACCGATTGCTCAGGGAAGTCATACTTGTCCATTGCAGAAGTGGAAGGAATGAGACACAAACAGGGAGGGAAGGGAGAGCTAAACCTGCTTTTGCCTCTACCCTGTTCTTCCAAGACAATAACGGGTTATGACACACCTCAATTTTTGTGTTGGGTTTCTGCTCCGAACCTGAAAGAAAAAGCTGTTTGTCAGACTTGTGTTCATGCTTGAATTTCTCATTGGAACTGGAAGAAGTGTTGAATAGTGATAGTGACAATTTACAAAAACCTATCAAGACAAGTAATCTGTATGTATAACTTTTTCTTTTTTTTTTCTTTTTCTTTTTTTCTCAATAGATACAAGAATTCTCTTCTGGTTTCTGGACTGGTTCACAGCTTGCATGCTGGGATAAAACTGAAAGACCCTGGTCCTTATTTCCCAAACTTTCCATTTACCTGAGGGATGAAAACTCCAGTAGGTCGTTTCGGATCTCTGTCCTACCACAGGTCTCAACCTTCTTTATTTATTCAGTTATGCATTTATTTTTACTGTTCCAAAGCACATGATCTTAAAAAATAGGAGCTGTTTTTAGCAGTAATAAAAGAACTGGCGTGTTGCATGCAAGGGAAATCTTTTAAATTTTTAAAATCAAATTTTAACTAGGGAAAATACAAAACTGTCAAATCTAAAAACAAAAAAGAAAACCACAGTTTCCTTCTGAATGCAGTCCAAATATTGGAAATTAATTTTTTTCAATTGGTCAGGAAAAATAGGCAAGTTTTTTGTGTTAGTTTTGTGAGTTTTAGCCACATTAGATGTCAATATAGAATACCTCTTCTCATTTTGATCTTCTTGTTTTGGGAAGCAAGTTGAATTGTTTTTCATGGCATTTTGAGTTGGAGCACTTCTTCTGGATATGACAGTCTTAGCAATGAGCCTATGTGATCTCTTTAACAATTTCTGTAACTTGTTTTGTTTATGTTTTATTAATACTCCATCCCAACTTTTAGAATATAATATGCCACTTCTATTTTTCCTCTCTGGCTTCCCCTCCCAATATAGGTTTGAATACAGGCTAGTATCCTCTAATGTTACTAACACAGTCTTCTACCTCAGGGGATGGTCAGGAGCAAAGGGAATGATAAATTTATTACGTACATTTTAACTTGAAATATAGTAAAGCCTTATGATAAACTTTTTCTGTATTGATCATGTAGCTTGGAAAATCTTTCGTCTTCCCTGAGGAGAAAAGGGATGAAATGTGACTTGAATTCATGAACCTAGAGCCTTGAAGCTGACACTGAATGCACTCTGAATCATTTCCATATTGATAATTTTTTAAATAATAAAATTATTCTCTAATTTGAGTTTATATCCTAAGTTCTTTTTAAGCTATCATCCCCACATGGAAAATACAATCAAAAGTGGCTCTCATGAATTTGCTGTTGACCTTCACATAGTGACTGACTGTGTAAATTTAAGCTTAGAATCCAAAAGCTTTACCTCTTACCTGCATGTAAGCTTTGACCAGTTTTGAATCATGTACAGAAATCTGTTTGCCCCTATTCATTCTCTATTTGCAGTGGAGTTTGAGTGCTTGAATATAAAAATCAAAAGATCTGAACTTCTAAGTACTGTGTGGTGGTGCTTCTTACCATCTGGCTTTTTTTTTTTTTTTTTTTAATAGCTTTATATTCAACCCATCCTTGGAATAGGAGAGAATTTACAGTGCTACCGATTCGGCATCTCTTCCTCTGCAAATGCGCTAGTTATTGGTGCTACAGTCATGGAAGGCTTCTATGTAATATTTGACAGAGCCCAGAGGAGAGTGGGCTTTGCAGTGAGTCCGTGTGCAGGTAAGACAAAGACTGTTTAGGACTTGGTGAGTGAGGAAACATCTACTCTCTCCCAGAAACACCTTTGCCACTAATCTGATGGGGAAAAGCGTGGTTGCTCGTGAGATGTGAAGAGTATATTTTTAAGCAATCCCAAGTTATTCAGATTTCAAGAGGAAGGAAGAAAAAAACCATGCAACAGTCTTTTGACGTGGACTCAGCCTCAGCTCTGGGTATCTTAGCTGCATTCTTCCCTCTGATCTTCCTTCTGAGACACCTGTCTGTGTGTGCAGTTTCCCAACAGTTAAATGAGATGAGTCCCTGTTTTTAATGCTGCTTTGTTCTTGTGTAGTTACTGTTCTAGTTTGCAGATAAATGGACTCTCCAACTAATTTTTGCAATATACAGTGAAGTACATAACTTGCACTTTTCTCTTAATGTAAATTGTGCCTTTTCACCTCTTGGAAAAACTCACAGAAAGAACGAAGATGAAAATGGGACTCGAATTAAGATTTGTGATGTTTGTGTTGCTTCTAAACAAATAATTTTCTCAGTGTAAGTAGAAAAGCATTAATTTTTTTAATTAGCTGCTGAGAAAATGTGAAAAAGCTCATAAGTTTTGGCTGATTTTACAGAGCTGGTTGACTCTTGCTTTTTCATGATTTCTCTTATCTCAACACAGGTAACTAAAACCAAAAGTTTTGGGGTTTCTTCTCTTTGTTGATGAGACATTTGGCACCACAAGAACATACAAGTGGGAGAGGAGGGAGGATGTGCACCCATGTGCAAGTCTCTGTCGCAAACCAAAGTGGTCTGTGCCTTGAGAAGCATTTTATCATCTGACATTTGCATGAGAAAAGGACTATGGCTGACAGTGCTTCTTTAATCCCCAGTATTTATGTTAGAGAGGGTAAGAGCAGTAAGTACTTGAGTGCTTAATGCAACCAGGTAATTGAGGGGAAAAAAGAGAGGTACTAGCTAGCTGAGTTGTAGCTCCAGGGCATTTTAAAAGCTGCCTTTTTTTTTTTTAATCTCTCCATTGTTAATGGGTTCAAAATTGTCATCTCTGAGCTTGCTATGAAAGAAAATCTGGATATTGATGTGGGTTGCTTAATGAAGACCTCTATGAGGTACCATGCGGTGATAAAAGACACATTTTGAATGCATCTGGAAGAGAGTGTAACTAGACAAATACTGCAGACCAGGCTTTCCTGCCTTTCATTCTTCCTTGTGCTGCCTGATTGCAATTTTAGCAATCATAGAGCTGCCTCCTGTCCCTGCCACGCTACAGCCATTAATGGCGAGAGGAGGGGGCATTTTGACAGAACATATTGACCAACGTGATCAGCAGGGGACATGAGCCAGCTGATGCTGATAAGAACTGCTTTGACAGATGCATCGTTGAGAAAATCAGTGAGGGAACCATTAACTGAATGTTAATATTGCTACCTGGAAGCATAGGGTTTGGCCACATCATGAAGTTCTGCCAACCTCGTCTAGAGAGGAAGAACTGAGTTTGCTGAATAGAAAGGAAGTCTGAATTTAACAGAGCTTGAACACATGATGATATCCATCTTGTGCTAGAAGGCATTTGCTCCTTTTTTCTTTGTCCGTGTTTTGTGCATATGTCTAACCTAGCATCATGGGAACTTAGCTTCTTGAGAAATCAGGTGACACAAGCCACTGACTGAGACAAGATATACGGATTTGTCAGACTCCACTCACATGGGGCAGATGACATTTTGCTGGATGTGCCAGCTAATTCAGAATTCACTTCTTCACAGCTTGTGGTTTCCATATTTAACACTACTTTCATCAGAAAACCACAACTGTGAGTGGTTGGCAGTCAGTGCAGTTATGAGGGATTAAGCTGCCTAACTGGCTTCCTGTGGAGGCTAGCCATGTCCTCCATAGCAACTATATTAATGTAATTTATTTGAAGCTTTATACTCTGTTCGTGGACATAAATTAAATTGAATTACTGGCAGCGTAAATCTTCAGAAATAGAGAAATATAAAAGACCATTTGGTGTGGCTTTGCAGTGACCTGTATTTTCTTGTTTACAGCAGAGTGTTAACACAAAATTTGAGCCCATGTTTTTAAAACGTGTTAAACAGGTATGGGCTGAATATAGAAATTAGGGAAACAGGCCTAAAAGCTTTAACTTCATTGAACTCCCAAGTTTCTGTTGAGATTTGGCTAGAGATGAGACTTGGCTTATCCCACAATATTCCTTACATCATTTTCATTCTCCAGGTTTGTACCAAGAGTGAAGAGAGTTAGATAGCTGGCTGTAGGAAGCTGTTCTGTTGTAGGAGGAAAATAAAACTTGGTTTTTTCCTCAATATGTGAAACCCTTTAAAACTTATTCTGCCTGTTACTAATTTCAAATTATTTCAAGTTGCTTGTTGATAATTTCAGAGATATCCTACTGTGTATAGGATGACCAGGAAAGGTTTTGGATCAGGTCCCTTCCTGAGATAAGACGTTTGGATCAGCTAGTGAAGTAACCTAATGATACCTTGACATTGAGCAGAATTAGGCTCCTGGTATTTTTGTAGCAAGTTAGAAGATCATAGGGGCAAAACTTAGGTATTTTCTAGAGAAGTGTATTGAACACTGTAATCATAAATTTCTTCTATACTAAGCTGTCATGAGAGAGACTGCACCCAGATTTGTGGGCAATAAGCTCTGGAGAATGGATGGCATGATGGAGAGCAGAGCTTCAGTGCAGAAAGACCTTGTCAACCTGGAGGACTGGGCAGCAGAAGCCTCAAGAGTTTCAGTCAACAGAGGTGTAAAATTCTGCACCTCAGGCAGAAGACCACCATACGTGGGTACAGTCTGGGAAGGGACTGGCTGAATAGCAGCCCTGTGAAAAAAGAACTGGGATTTATGGTCGGCCCCAAGTTGAATGCAAGCCAAAAGTGAGTGCAAGTGAAACTACATAAGAAGGACAACATCCACCAGTGACATTTAGGAAGTTTCAAGTTAAACGTGAGGAATTTCTTCTTCACCAGGAGTGTGGTACAGCACTGAAACAGGCTGCCCAGAGAGATCATGGGGTCTCCATCCTCAGGGTTTTAAAAGACCTGACTGGATAAAGCTGCAGCTGACCTGAACTATTGATGGTCACAGTTCTGCTCTGAGTAGGAAGCTGGATTAGGTGACTTCCAGGGGCCCCTTTCAAGCAGCACTTTACAATTTTATGATAAATTTGATCTAACTTCAGGTTTGCTTCCTTTCCAAGCCACTCAAGATAGTGAGTGACAGAGTGAGTGTGTTTGAGTTCTTACACAAATGTTATAAAATAGCATTTTTTCAGAGGTGCCAATTTTCTTCTGTAGTCATCAATAATGAAGAAAATCCCATTTACTCAAGGTCATGAATTTATTGTAGTAGCTACCACCAGATGTTCTAATAAAAATATGTCATAATATCCTGTTTGAGCTAATGTGTAATATGCTAAGTGTTTGTGAGTGTTAATTTGTGTTAAAGGCTTGTGTGAACAATTTAGGCAAATTCCCCCTTTTGATTTCCTCTCTGTTTCTCTGGGGGTGGTAGAGGGCGAGGGAAAACTTTCATTTTTGGAGGGAGGAAAGCAGAGGCTGTACTGCTGTCAAGCATTCTCAAAATGTAATTTAAAATGTCAGCCACTATGGCAACAGCTTTGTATTGCCTTTTTTTAAATGGGAGTAATTATTGTACTCGAGCCAAATAATGGGTAATTAGGGACTGTTTATTTTCAAAGCTATCTCCAAGGTGGAAAATTGTGCTGCTGTTCTTTCATCCACCTCTTTAAAATACTAAACTCCTAAGTTGTAATACTTCAGCCTTGCATTTCACAGTAGTATTAGATGTGGTTTAGTGTGTTTTTGCTGCAGGGCTTCATAGAGACAGATGAAATGGTGTGAAGGGGTGAGATGTCCAGAAGAAGCAATTGCATGGTAGACATATTGGGACTCTAAACAGAACGGATTCTGATGCAGACCTTCTAGATAGTCTTTTACAAGTCTGGCCACTACTGTGCAGCTGCCTTACCATATCTATGCAACAGCAGTGTCTTGGCAAAGATATACTGATGATACAGGTTGCAGAGGCCAGTTTATTACCATTTGATGAGTTGAGACAGTACATGTTTGGTACTCACCAGTGTTAGGGTGCTTGTGGGTGCAGCCTCAGGTTTTACCCAGTCCGCTCTAACTGCTAAAGGGATGATTGCTGCTGGAGAAGGGATTGGTTCAGTTGAATGATCTTAGAGAAAATTCTTCATTTGGGCATTTTATTTGCTATCACAGGTTGGTTTTCTATCAGACCAGCAAGTTGCCCTGACTCTCCTTGCAGCCTACCAGTCACTACCAGCAATACAGAAGAGGCAGTGAGGGATGGGAGTGAGGGCAAGCAGGACTCTCTTTCAGCAGCAGCCTACAATTAAGTTTGATTAAGTCTAATGAGACTTAAACCTTAATATATTAGAAGATTTTGGGAGGCCAGAGACTGAATACTGACTAAAATATCTCTCAATAAATTGCAGGTAAAGCAACCCAACTATTTTGTGTTTGCTCCTCCACAAAGAACCTTAAAGGCCACCTTCCAGCCTTTACAAAATCCAGGCTCCCCTCGTCCTTCCAAAGAGTATTTTATGCTAATCTCTCTAAACATACTTTCAAGAGTGGTGTCTAAGAAACATGTAAATAAGAGATACTGTTTTCAGTAGGCAGGATCACTTGCAAATTGGCAAGAGTGTGTGTGTGTATAAAATGAACAAGAAGTTAAGCAGGAAGGTTAAAACCGAGGCCGTTATAAGAAACACACAAATGTGTCTTAAAATATCTGACTGGAGAAGTAGATTACAACTGTTTAGAAGACTTATTAAAATGCATAGACAGTACTAACTGCAGGCTCCTAACTGCCCTCCCGCTCCCCTTCCCTGGCTACGCACCTGCAGATACTGCAGCTACGAAATGCTCTGAATATGGTGTTGCCCTAGGCAACTCACTTGCTCTGCCTTTACAATACCCGTAGCCCTGTCCACAACTCAGGGGAGCTTTGCTGCGCTTGCCACCGTTACTGTGACAACCATGGGCAGCATAACCCTTTTTAGCAAATACTGGTTTAACAAGTAGGGGGTTTGTGATGGTAATGAAACAAGCCACACAGTCTGTGTGATGTTACAGAGATGGATGGCTGTTCGAAAACAGAGCTGCTAAGGCATTCCTTCATGCTTCTTGCCTTAGCTTTGTCATCTCCATTTTTTGAGCTCCTTAGTTAGCTTCCCCTTAGGTAGGGGGTACAGTCCTTTAAGGTATCTGTGAAGTTGATGATCCTGCATGCTGCTCCCTAAGACCCTGGAAGACAGCAAACACAGAAGGTGTAAGAATCACCTGAGTTGGTGCGAATGCCAGAAACAAACAAAAACTGCCCAGGCTTTACTCCCTACTCCAGTGTAGGTGTTGTAGGACTTTTAAGCTTTGTTAAAGTGACATTTCTGAAAGGTTATTCCAGGGAGAAAAGGTGAGCCAGTGGCTTGGACTTTAACTTGGGCTCTGGGAGACCTGATTTCAATGTCTGTTCTCCGTCACTGGCAGCCTGTGTAAATGTGGGAGTGTCATGATCTCTTTATGCTTCACATTGCTATTTTGTAAACACAGCATGCTAGCATTTGTACTGCAATGAGAAATGCAATAAAGCGTGAGTATGCTGCAGCGTAAGATGATGGAGGGAAAGGGATATTTAAGTATTTAGGGTGAATGTTTTGTTACTTTAAATAGTGTCTATAGACTTAATGTTTTTTCTTTTTGTAATTTCTCAGAAGTTGATGGCTCTCCAGTATCTGAGATTGAAGGCCCTTTCACAACAGCAGATGTTGCAAGCAACTGTGTTTCTAGCATTTCTTTCCACGAACCAGTGTTGTGGATTGCCTCCTATGCTCTCATGAGCCTGTGTGGAATTATCCTCCTTGTACTGATCATTCTGCTGCTTATTCCACCACGGTGTCAGCATCGCTACACTGACAATGATGTGGTCAATGATGAATCCTCCTTAGTGCGTCATCGATGGAAATGAGAAACTTGATCATGAAACCTGGGACTTAAACAGGATGAAGAACAAAGTACTTTGCAAGGGGAAGAAGCCAATGCCTCAGTCCTTTCTATGTTCATTACAAATTGCTGTTGAAATCCTGCCAAATATCCTGCATCGTAACTTTTTAAGCTTTATTTTCTAACACTGATTCTGAACCAAAGCACTGTTAACCACCTCTTAAGTGCTACGGTACTGGTTTTGCTACTGCAGTGCAATGAGCCTTTATGCTCTCAACAGTACCTTCTTTTTAAAAAAAAAAAAAAAGAAAAGAAAAAAAAGAAAAAAACACACCATAATGTTCTTCCACTGTCTGAACAAAATTATCCATCCCTCTTTGAAGAAAAAAAAATGTCAGTATTTTCTAGCTAATCGAGCCCTGACTGTAGAAAAAAAAGAAAAAAAAACTTAATAATCTTTCTTATTATTTGCATTAAATGAATACTGCTTTCTGTTTACATGAATTAATTTTGAAACTGTGCTTATGGTGTGGGGAAGAGAGAAAGGTCAGATTTAAGCAGCAGAGAAAAGCAAGTGGGGTCAAGAAGAAATGTTGGCTTGTGTTTGTTTTGTTTTTTTCTCAAGATCACTGCTGCCACTTAAGAGAGTTATCTTCCTGAGTGTTATTGCAAAATAGTTGGAGGAGGTGAAAATTGAAAAACAAACTTGTTCAGCCTTAGTGTAAAACAAGACTACCTCTTTTAATTTACAAGGATGCTACCACTGGTGAGCATGTGGCTTAGACCTGATCTTGAAGCACAAGATGCTCCATACAACTAAATGCAACCAAGTAGTGGATTTTATAAAAATTAATACTTCATGACTTTCCACCTTGGTGCACCAAAAAAAAAATGTTTGGGTTTTCCCCCTAATGTGGGGGTTTGTGAGATTTGTTGGTTTATTTAAGTTGAGGGTGACTGGTATTTAGAAAAGGCCAGTCTGTGTATGTATGGACAGATGGCAAAGCCAAGGCTCGTGTTCTGCCATGTCTTTTAGTATTTCTAGTGAGCATGTAACAAAAAGTAAACAACAAAATAAGAAAGAAAACACTTTTTTTTTTTTTTTGGCTGAGCTCAGCAACCTAGAAGTTCAAGGAAAAAGTATCTGTCTTCATGGGCGGACTATGAAGTGAAAGTCTTAATGCTGGTTTGTTTTTCAACCTGAATGGCGGTTGGAGGTGTTTAGTTGAGCTTCACCAGTACGTCAATCAAAATGAAAAGTGTGTGTACTGAACAGCTGAATACAAACATATGGTAAGACTGAAACAGGGGAGAATATATTTGACTGTATGTTCATTGTGCAAGCGCAGACCTTAATGCTGAGGTCAGAACGTGGTATTTTCTTCACAGATTGGACAATTTTTCTTGCGTCTAATCAGTGAGTGTTGCAGGACCACTTTTCTAAAACACTGTTGTAGTGGGTTTGAAAGATAAACAATGCAAGTTTGAGCAGCCTGGTGATAACTATTAGTTATCTGAGTTGTTTTGTGGTCGTTGGGGTTTTTTTTAACAAAATAGAAGAAAAATTCCTTTGCATTTCAATAGCAGAGCAGTTTGCATATCTCTGTGGGAAACATGGAGACAAAAAAGGAAGCTTAGCTCTGAGTCTTCCCATCTCTTGCCTGGAAAATTTTCTTTCTGTAATGCCTTCATATAGGTTTCTGATTCACTCTGCCTCTGCATCTGACTGCATGGAATAAGCAAAATTTTTGGTTTTTGTTTTTTTTCAGGAATGGTGCTTTTACAGAGGTGCACATGATGTGTGTGAAAATAAAGCACGGTTGATTCTTTTTTTAAAACTAACTTGTGTATTTCACTTCATAACTGGAAGTACATGTGATTTTCTTTCATTGCACTTTCAGATTGCTTGGCTGAATAGAGTAAGATAAGTGGTGGTGTGATCCAACACCTCAAAATTATTTTTCTTGAAATTAGGAGTTGGAAATAGGAAGAAATTTTGAGTTTGCCTCCTTCTTGCTCTGCTTCTTAGTTTTTAAAAGGAGAAGAATGATGAATTATATGGATTATAAGAAACTATAGAGCTTAGGTGTTTTCTCCATATTCAATTTTCCATACACCTCTCTGTCTTAGAATTTTTAGAACACTTTATAACAAGAAGTTCCCTTGAGTTTTTCTTAACACAGTAGACTTTGCTCTGTAAAGATAAAGTGATGTTTCCAAGTCTGTGATTTAGTTCTGTGTTGTCCTCCTGGGTTTGGTTTTACACATAACAAATAACTTCAGAGTTGTATTCCTTCTTCTGCAGTATGGCAATATAAGTAATGCTTCCGTGACCTGTTTGAAGCAGAAACATGGATTGAGACGGTGGTAAACAATGAGTTCTTTTTCAGTTCAGAAGTTAGTAACACTTGTATGCTCTTAAAATATTTCTTAGCTGTTTTCCTACCCCCAACCCCTCTTATCTCCTTACCACAAAAAGTTTTAGGAAGGAATTTATTGGGAAAGGTTCCTGATGGGATTTCTGCTGAAAAGTGGAATTTCTTCTGAGTTGCTTAGCAAAGTCATTTTAGTGCACTAGATTTCATATAAAAGCCTTTCAGTTTTACCCTTTCACTTTGAATGTCATTGGTCAAGACACTTTAATAGAAACACTTGAATGCAGGAGCAATAATCAAATAGCACAAATGAAATAGTAATATATTCTTGAGTTTTCATGACATCCCTTGCCACTAAAATTTGGCATATAGTAAAAAGGCTGTTAGCGACATCTGCTAACAGCACAAACTTCATCTCAGCTTGTAAATTGATACTTACACCGGCAGATATTCAGGTGAGTATATTGCTTTGTTGCTCTGGCAACAGGAGCAGCAATAGAAACTCTTGAGGGTTCATTTTTAGCCTACAGCACATTAAGAAAAATAATGCTCTTGAGCATTTTTCTGTGAAGGATAAAATACATTTACAGACTACAGTGTTACTGTGTGTGTCTTACTGGTGATCTTCTTCCCTGATATTTTTTGTTTTTAAGGAGAGTTCTGTGAGATATTTTATGCTCCTGTTAACTAACTTCTGAGATAAGATTAAACCATACATTTAAAAAAGGCAGGAGGGGGAGGAGTGGCAAAAAACCAGAGCTTTGAGAAAAGCTGGTGCTGGAAAATACTCACTATTTATTATGGAAGGCAGGATGCTCCAAATCACAGCACTCCAAATCATTCCTTGTACACATATCAATATTTCTTGCAGAACCAGCATTCTCCTAATATGAATGTAATACTACATACCATGAAAATGTCAGAGAGCAATGTTTCTTTGCATGCAGCCTTTTAGATAATTGATACTATCAGTGCAATCATCAGGGATTTGAAGATGTGTGATTTGAGCTCAAGCAGTTCAACCTGAGTTCAGGCATGGGACTATGTTAGTTCTATCCCACTGCCTTCACAAGTTTTAGAAATATTATCTTGGGCTTTTTGGCTCAATTTAAATGCTGAAGAAAATAGATAAAGAATTTTAATAAGCCTTTCTGTCAGGTTCTGTAAAAGAAGTTAGGTAGAGGGGATTGTTCTGTTTTTAAGGTGAAAGAGCTTGTGTTTAGGATTTGTAAGTCGGATCAACCTAAACTCAATATATCAAGAGAGTGTACCATTCCAATTCCTGGCTCTGATGCTGTACAGGTTAACTAGTGGTAATCACAGAGCTTTTGTTTTTTGGTATCACTTGTTAACATATCAGTTCTTTAACAACAGTTACCTCTTTCAGCTAAAGTCAACAGTCTCAGACGTGAGCCTCTCTCACACACTCACACACTCTCACACTCACACAGACACACTCTCACACAGACACACACTGTCTCACTCACACACACACATTCACACACACACGCTCACACATTCACACTGTCTCTCTCTCTCTCTCTCTCTCTCTCTAACCTATGGAAGTGAACATAAAAGAAATTATGGAAAGATAAGTGAGTAAACTGCCCTTCACTTAACTAAAAATTGTGGGAGCGTAACAGATTGATCCTTTTAAGAAAGGTCTGTACAATTTACCCAAACATTAGTTCCTGTCAAACTTGACTCTCTGATTGACAAATTGTTCATTTCTGACTGCTGAAATTCTTGCTGCTGTTCAAAGAAGTGAAGACAGATTGGTAATGGTATACAAGCAATCTTGTGAGCTAGTCAGATCTTCTGGCTTCTGGGGCTTAATTAGACATTAAGCCAGGGCTGTGGGTAATCCAGATTCCTGGTGATGGCTTCTCAGGAATGGTTTCTGAAATATAATTGTTGACTTCAGCCAAAGCCCTGGATGAGATGGATCTGTACTGCAAAAGCCACTGCTAAGACTTGCACTAAGTGACAGAGGAGCTACAGTGAGCTGGAGCTTGGCTGATGGTATCAAATGTGGAAATGCTAAATAAGTGAGTCTTCTATGAGGCTTCCAGATCACGGCTGAGGATCCTTGGTAGAGCAGAACGGGAGATCTACTGCAGTTGCTGACGAGCTGCTGTGAGTCTAATATCAGTCGGTCACCTCTTCCCTTGTCTGAATATTTTGAAAGCCAGTGTATGCAAGGGTGCTGCTACTGGGAATTACCCACTCCCAAGTGAATAAGGGGGGTGATCATCTTCAAGTAAACTCGCTGGCCAGTTACCGAATATTCTCGTCTCCATATGACAAAGCACATAGTGATATGTCTCACCCTTAGCAATAGTCTGTTTGTAAGCAACAAAACAGATTATTTTAAAACATGTTGACATGGGTCACAGTAGTAACAGAAGGTTTTCTGTTTGCTTTTCCTTTTCTTTGCATCTAGGCTTTGGCTGGGTAGTAGTGGTCGGGTAGTTTTTGAAATGATGGGTACATTAGACTACAAAGGCACATGCTGAATTTCTTTTGTTAGTCAAAAGTAAAACACAGAAGGTAAATTTTTGGCATTTAAAAGGAGGAAAGTAGCCCTCAATAAATGTTCTCTCTCTTTTTTTTTCTTTTTTTTTTTTTTAATACATGATAATCACCGCAAGTCAACTATTTCAGCATAGGTGCTGTCCTACTCATTCACTAGCTGTAAATCTGGTTTCTCTGATTGTATTCTGGCCCCCTCACTATATCCTCTCAAAAAGGTTCCTAAAAGCTGAAGATCTCTATATCCAAAATTCAGCCTTCTAACAGAAGATATGCTTTTCTTGGTGACCATTCACTGACCTATTTTGAAGTAGTTCCTAAGGCTTTAGAAATTAACTCTAGGCTGAAAATAACTTGCATTAGTATTAGGAGGAGCATTAGAGCCAAAAC